GACGCAGAGACTGAGCGCGTGTAGATCGAACCGCCGCGCGTCAACAATGAAGTGGCGTGGATTAACAAGTAGGCTGATGCCTGGCTGAGAAGATATCGATGATTTCTCGGCTGAAACTTTGACACGTTTGTGCATCATCAGGGCACAGAGGCAGCTCCTCCCAGGCAGACATGATTTAAGAGCTCAGCTTCACAGAGGCCGGTTCACACAGGAGCGTTTGTTCAACGAGGGAATTACTGAAAGGCGCAGGAGGAAAGTTATGACTGATGGCTGTGTGACAGCTCACTCACATGGTGTTGAAATTAAAACTAAAAGAACTGAATGATGACATTCCCTGAAATTGAAAGTTATGTGCATTCAATGCAGCTCTGAGCAGAGACACAGAGCTGCATTGTTGTTTGTAGTCATAGAAAGCACTTAAAGATTTAATAGCCTATATTACCACACCCACTACATTTCCACAATTGTGTCCAACAAGAGTTGAATTTAATTTGAAAGAAATTCAAATGTATTTCATACATGAAGTTATTAATTGGTCTTTTATTTATTTTTGACTCGTGTCTTTTATTGCAAATGCAGTGAACATGTTACCTCTGTCTATTAAATGTTTCACCTAAATACACAAATAAAACCAAATGAGCTGCATAACATCATAATCAATAGGCTACTATAAATACCTTTAATAAAGTTCTGTTCAGTAAAAGCAAAGCAAGTTGATTATGATGTATTTTCTATATCTATGTATAAAAGTCATGATGTGATGACCAGCATATTAAAAGTATATGTAATATTGCAAGACATCTTATCAGTTTTAAGAGAAAGTAGTCAATCTCATTAAAATCATTTCTATCATAAAGCCCACTGTGTTCCTGGTTTCATTTGGAGCAACATGGAAGCTGGTATATGTGAACTCTGTAGGATGTAAGACGACTTCATTACTTTGTCAGACATCAGTTGTAGTTGATTTCGTAATAGAACAAGTTAGGGAAGTTTCTCAAGAATTGGCGCCCTGAAAAACGATGACGTTTGGTCCCTCTACATTGTGCTAATAGCACTTAGCACACTTTAGCTCACTGATTGACACAGTGTGCTAAATAGTTAAACATAATTTAGAGAAGCATAGAGGCAGATCGTTTTTCTGCCTCTATGCTTACCTTATTTTACCTTATTAAAATTGAGGAATTTTAATAAGGTACTCAAATAAGTCGATGAACCATTAGAGCCCTGGTTAGCATAATGTGACTTTTCAACATATCGTCTTTTAACTAAATCTTAGACCCATCTGACCAAAGCGTGTGGCTGCCTCAGTAAACTCAGTTCTACATTTGTGGTGGTAGGACATGCCTCCCAAACTGACTGGTTGGTAAGTCATTGTTTTGTTTTGGGTTTTTTCTTCATGGTAACAATGTAATCCTGGGTTGTTTGCCAGTCTTCTCTCACACAGACCCAATTGTTTTACACAAAGTAGTAATTTACCATCCTATGAACATGAATGTACATCTGTCTGATTTGAAAGCCATATTTTTTTTTCATCTTTCCAGGTGGCTAAGAGGAAAGGGCCTCTGTGTCACATCATATTTGTGCCCCAGGGAGACAGAAAGGCTTTCATGTTAGAACACATTTAGATCAACATAAAAAAGTTTGATGACTTTAACACAATAAGTCCACAAGGTGAATTTGTTTTTTGTTTTTGTTTCTTTCTTTTTTTTTGGACAGCAAAGCACATCTCCCTGTATTGTCTTTAATCAACACTACGAACCTCAAAAATGACAAAACTGACAAGTCAGATATTATAAGTATGTCGACCTGAAAAGTCATGCATTTTGTTACCAACTCAGAGATTTTGAAATAAAGCCATAATTTTTGGTTATCATGTATGTAGTTGACCTCCAGGTTAGAGACAACACCCACACACAAGTAGTTGAAAAATGAATACTTGACTCCTTCTAATACACATCAAATATACAATATGCATTAGTAAGGACAGTGGAAAAAAAACCTTAGTACTACAACAGAACCTAACATCCATATGGTCTTCCTTATATCTGCTGAGGAGCAGCCAATTAACACCAAGGAAAATGAAATGAATGGCACACCTGAATTTGCTGCTTTGTAAACAGCCAATAGCATGTCAAACACCATCGCAGCTACATATATCAGCTTCACAAGCTGCATTTTGTTTCACATAGTTTTGATATGATGTATAAAACAAAATCTGCAAATAGGCTCATCAACCCCAAATAACTTGAAGTGATGTTCCACTGAAAAATACATCAATCCTGAACCTCAGTGTAGGTCACAAATGGACATTGCCTGCACCTTGGCCCACCTCTGGCCACAGTGGTAGATAAGGCATGCAAAATTCAACATGAATTCAGCGTTAACGTCATACGCAAAAATGAATATGCTGCTTGTGTTTATTTTTTGTAGATGCAGCTGCTATCACCTTTGTTTGGTTAGCTGCATCCACAAGTATTGGCTCATGCCAAAAACGGAGAGTAAGAGTTTATAACAATAGATGAACTTCCGTCACCATACGTCATCATCACAATATTTGTTGCGTATGTTAAGATTGCAAAAAATTGTTTTCAACTGTCATGAATACAATAGAGGTATACCAACAAGATATCGAGACCCGTTGCAGTGGATAACCACACCTGATGTAGATGATCGTACCAGAGGTCTAAAAGAGTTGCAAGCAACAATGTCACAATCCAACGTCTGTTTGAATGTTTCTTTACTGGCATCAGAGGCAGAACGGATCTGTTTGTGGAGAATATGCTGCTGTCCTCAGTGATTACAGCTTGAACCACAATGATCATGCACCACAAATCTTTAATGAGGCTACAGCAAAAGACTCCTTTGCATAAAACACTTTCTCCATAACTGTGTCACAACCATCATCCCCAGCATGCTGTAATCATGCTAGTTGCAGAGCCTGAGTTTGGCTCCAGACCGGAGGGATGCCCCAGTTAGAGATGAAGAAAACTGTATCAACCGAAGTTATTTTGATCGCCTCAGCTGACCAGGAGGAAATGCTCAGCAGAGCAAACTTTCCTAAACATTACCATTTCATGCGTTTGTTTGCATTTTTCTTATTGAAATGTTGCATCCAAAAAGGAAAGCTGTGAACATGGACGTCATGTATCCACCTCCACATCAGCAAGGTAGGATTCCAACATGAATCTGCAACCTTTATAATCTAAAGAAGACGACTTATAATTCTGATGAACATCTGCTGCTGGAAATGCATTGTCAATATTAAATACCCACTACTTTGTCTTAGCTTAAATATGTAAATAAAGAACAGACAAAACACTTACGAAAAGAGGATAAATAAATTTTCTTCTGCTTGATGTTGATTTTCAATGGAAAATATACTGAAGACACTTTTCAATCCAATGACAAGAAAAACTGACATAAAAACATGTTGCTGGTTCTATTAGTGACATTCTGTTGTGGAAATTCAATGCTTAAAAATATTAGCTGGTTTATAAATTTTTCCCATGTTATTAATGTCATGGTCCGTGTTTCTGTGTGTTTAGTTTTGAGTTTTTCTGTGTGATTCTGTTTCCATGTGAGTCTCTGTCCTGTCCTCCCCGTTGATTGTCTCCCAGGTGTGTCTCATTCCCTTGATTACCTCGTGTGTATTTAGTCTCACCTGTTGTCTGTGTTCTTCATCGGGTCCTTGTCTTACGTATGGCTAAGTTTGTCTTACGTTTTCTTGCCAGTAGAACTGTATAGTCCTGGTAGTGTCAGCTCTCGTTTTCAGTCCTGTCATTCAGTAGCTACCGGTATTTAGCTGTGTGCTAGTTCTCTACCGTGCCGCCTGTTTTGGACTGTGTGAGCATTTTCTCCATTAAACTCATCATCATCACCATAACCTGGGTCTCAGCGTCTCTCCTCACCATCACCAACCAACACACCTCATGACAATTAAGAACTATATACTAAGAGGTCCAAAGAGCCACTTAAAAACAGAAAGCCAAACAAACATCCTCCATGTCACTAGCTGCATTTCCATAGATCATAGGATTGTGCAATTTTATTTTTCAAAAATAAATTTGATTAACAGAGACGCCAATTTAAAAAAAAATGTTTCTGGTAAAAAAAAAAAAATGTAATGCTATGATTAGGTGGTTTATTGGCCATATAAAAATTGGCTCATTTCGCAAAACTGCAATGGAAACACAATTTTCGCATCACACCAGTCACGATCAACAACTGGATGTTACCACTGGTGCAAACGACGAAGACGACGACAGGAAGTAGGAGGATCATGGTAAAGCATTTTTTTTTTTTTTAATGAATTATCGTTTGAAAACTTATTCACTTGTGATTTTGATTGCGTTTCTTCTGCAAATGTGAAATAGTGTTTTGTTTTGTTTTTCCCAAAATTCGCCGAGTTTTTAATGGAGACGCAGCTACAGAAGTATTTGGAAAGATTTTCTCTTCGTGAGTATTAAGTGTAACTTCGTTCTTCTATTTTGCTATTTTTTCCTGCTGATGCTCAGTCTGCCAGTCTAACTGCAGCGCCTGTTGACAGGTGATCTCTTCCTCTGCATTCACCCTGCTGCTGCCTGATCGAGGCTCCCACGCACACGAGTGGGCTCCGCTCCGCGCGCATTCCTCGGCTTAAGGGAAGCGTGCGCGCACATCCCCGGACCGCTCGAGCCAAAAAAAAAAAAAATTCGCTCGGTGGTTTGAGTCGCTCTCGCTGTAAATAGCCTGCATTTATTTCAAGACTTCAAAGGTCTGTTTCAGACTCCCTCCCCATCCACTCGAAACCTCCCACCATTTGACTCGAAAACAAGCCGGGGATGCCCAGAAAAAAAAAAAAAGAAAATGCGAGTTGGTGATGCGCCGAGAACTGAACTCAAGCTGCTCTCGATCTGCTTGGACGCAATCCGAGACACAGATGATGGGAGTTTAAAAACACTGCTACAACAGGATTAAAGAGCAGCATCCGACAATAATAATGAAAAAAGAAAAATCCTTACCTCCTGCTGAGACGCTGCTCCACAGCAGCCAGACCCACAGCACCGCAGGCAAGGTGCCGCGGAGTGGGACCGAGCGGGCAGCCGGCGGCATGTCGATAGAAGCCGGTCCGGGGGAAGAGAGAGCGACGGCGGCGGCGGCGGGGAGACTGTGGGAAGGAGAAAATAAAACCACGAGCTCCCTGGTGTGTTGAGCGGGCTTGTCGGCGGTCAGGTAGAGCCGGTGGCGTCAGAGAAAGTCCGCATGTCAGAGGAGCATCCTCCTGACTGCAAGCAGCGCCTCCTGCTTTCTGCCACCGATCCGTCGGTGTTGTCCTCTCTCACATTCTCAGTCACAAGCAGCCTCCCTCTCTCCCTACCGTTCACCCCTCTCTCTCTCCCTCTCTCCCTCTCTCTATCACACACACATACACACACTGACAGTCACACACACAATATGACCCTAATGATAATGAAACTTTGTTTTGGAGAGAGCGAGGGAGCGAGAATGTGTGTTTGTGTGTGTCAGGGGTGATGGGCTGAACATTTATATAAGATAGAAAGAGAGGAAAGATTTGCAGGAGGGATGAGGCGATGGATGGGTTGAGTGAGGAGCTTCCTCATGCCGAGCTGGTAATCTGTTTGAGTAGGCTGGTTGTATTTCACTGTGGGAATCCACCACCGCAACCGCCTCCATGTAGACCAGAGCAAGACTGAACACTGTGCAGGTTAATGAATGCTGACCGCTGGGAAGCCTTCAGAGGAGGCTGCCGCATGGCGTTTAGTATCAAAATTAAAACTCAGCATCTGGATTTCAAGCGAAAAGTACTCACTGCTCACAGTGCAGCAAAGTGCAACTGTGTACTTCTAGCAAATGGCTGAGTCCCAGTGGTCAAGAGATTTGAGACAAATTTTACAGCATTCTGCTGCAAAGTAAGTTGTTATGTATGCTTTGTGTTGCTAAGTAACTAAACTTTATGTTAATTTATTGATTAATCATAGCAATAGGAAGAAGAAGAAGAAGAAGAAGAAGAAGAGCAAAAATAAGAATGAAAAGTATACACCCATCATCTGTACCCGTTTGTCCTTGCAAGGTCGCAGAGGTACATCAAGGACAAATCACCACGGCAACACAGAGATGCTTAGAATAAACAACCATGCACACACACAACACACACGCATGCACGCACGCACGCACACACACAGAGTCACGCCCAAGGACAATCTGGAAAAACCAATCAATGCTCTATGCAACTGGATTTGCACAGTGTGAGTTCAGGCAGTCAAACTTCCTCCACTCTTTCCATCAACACCGGCATCCCACAAGGCTGTGTGTTCAGCCCAGGGCTTTATTGACCCTTTGCAACTACGTCACTTAACCATATCGAGGTGCCATGAAGGATGTCCTAATGCGATATTTGGTGTCTTTCTAATCATACTTAAAAAGTTTATAAGTGTTAATCTTCTTACTTTGTTTAAAGTGTTTGCTGGAAATCTGTGATTACGCCGAGGGCTGTTAGTCGTTCTGACTGACGGCTGCTGTCCACCACCACAGTGTCTTCCCTCAGTAAAAGATATCAAATAAAATGACAAGTTTGGTTTGCATACCTGTCTGTTTGCTGCCCAGTTATTCAAACATTCATAAAAGCTTGACTGGCACGCCTACTACCACTCAAGTGAGAAGACATAACCTAATAGGTTGCAGAATAAAATCCATGTTTTGTTTTTATTGATACATTTTGATAGCATATATGATTATATACCCACAGAGTTATTAATGTAGCAAGGATTCTGAGGAACTGTAGCCTGTCTTCAGTGAATTATTTTGATTTTAGTGCTTATTTATTTTCTTATTGGGCAGCCCAGCGCAGTGTATCTGAAAAGCACCTGGGCTGTTGTTTTGTTGAGATACTCCACTGCTCAGTATCATTTCTTTGCTTTGTTTTACTCAATTGAGTCAAACCAAATCCCATCAGATCACAACACTCTGAAATCAGTGAATCAGAGGACAAATTGTGTTGCTTCACATGATTTTTTTCTGTCAAAGTATCTAAAATGTGTATCAACATATGCATCATATTGGAGATGCACGACCCTGTTATTTACAATGAAGGCGACATAAAATTACAAACTGAAACATGTCAACAACAGTAACCATGTCATGACAGAGAATTTCAACGGAAGAAAAAAAACACGCTGAAATATTAGGTGGTTATTTTTACGCTGCTTCAGTGTAGCTACGGATCAAGTCCCAGAGCTGAGTTATCTGTTACTTTGCCTGTTCACACTGTGGTTCCACAAGTCCTGCACAATGTGTGCTCAAACAAATGAAAGCAGATGTGACAGAAGCCCTGTGAGTTAGAGTGTGGTGTTGCACACGCTGCCCCATCATTTCACACACACTCCTCAGCTCGGCTGGCTGACCTTTGCTGTGGCAGAGCAAGCCGTGGGTTAACTTCCTCATTCCACCTGGGGCATTTTACACATTACCAGGGTTGTAGTAGCTTGGGGGTTTTTCAGCATAGTGCAGTTTTAATAGTGACTCGACAATTTGTTTGAAGGTTCATTCAGAATTCCCTCATTAAAACAAATTGCCAGTCAAAAGAAAACCATCTCAACACTGATGATTATGTCATTTCTGTGCTGTGGAAAAAATGAATTGCCAGGCGCTGTCAAGTGAAAATCACTCAGTCAGGTTTGTTTCATACCATAGGCGTGACATGATAGCCACAAGGTCAAATACTGGAGAAGAGGTCAGATTAAAGCTCCAAGTCAGGCTCAGAGTGGGCTGTGTGTGTCAGACAGAGACCACACACAGGTTTCACACTGAAGATAAGGAATCCCAAACAGAGACAGTCTAGCTCCCATGCAGCTGCCGAAAACAGCGTCTATCCTTGGCTGTGCAGCCCAGACAGGTTCATCTGGAGAGAGTTCGTAAGCACTTAGAGTAAAGACATAACATGACATAACCAATAAATTATTAAAGCCAGAATATATTGCAGGATAATAAAATTGTCCACCACAATGCAATTAGTCATGCATTATAATGTCATTTAAACATTACAGGGACAAAATGGGGATAACCAGATTCAATGAGACTGTAGGAGGAGCGCTGCACCACCACCAGCTGCAGCACCACCAGCCGCAGCATCACCAGCCGCAGCACCACCAGCCGCAGCACCACCAGCCGCAGCAACACCAGCCGCAGCACCACCAGCTGCAGCACCACCAGCTGCAGCATCATCTTCAGCAACAGCACCAGTAACAGCAGCGTATCTGCTTCTGTTAGCCTCTTGCTAATTAAAGGATGTGGTCGATACTCCATCATTTTGTCTCTAAAAACTTCAGAGATCATTATTCTAATTGACTTCCTGTTTCAGTGTTTATGTTCAGCATTAGCCATCTGAAAAAATGCAATTTGTAAACCTGCAACATGGAAACAGTGACATAAATGTGACTGAAGGAGATCAAGACGTTTCATGTGTTCTTTTAAAGGGGCAGTATTACGTATGTCCAGGCAAAAAGGGCCATTTCATAGCACAATTAACAAATAATTATGTTATACTATCATTTTATAGCATATTCAAATAACTGTGTCACATTCAGTTGTTTTAGAAATGCTGTATATATCAAATTTAACTTTGTAATTTAATGCCTTGAATTTGGGTCTCTGTCTCTTTAAGAAACTCCTGCTCTTTCTGAAACTCCGCCTTCAGGAAGTCATCACAACATGGCTCCCCTATTAACCCTTTAACAACATTTTTACCAGCATTGCTCCTATAATGAGCTCAGCAGATAAGCAGTTCCACCAGGTGTTTGCTAATTGCTGCTGGCTAGTCTGAAGGACCTGAGTGGAGGAGTTGAGAGGAGGGCTGCTGTGTGAGGCAGAAACTTGGAAACTGCAGTTCAGAGGAGGAGCTGCGTCTCGAAGGCGGAGCTAGGTCCACCCAGGCGTTTTGCACAGCTGGATAGTTGCCGTGGAGATTAAAGGATTTCTCAAACCTTCATGAAAGAATCAAAGCAAAACTCCAGGTGTGTTTCTGATGAGGAAATAGCATTATACCATTATGTAAAGCTAAAAAAAAAATCTATTTTACACAGCAGTGCAAATCACTGTATTTTTAGTTTCTCTTGAATAGAAGTAAAATGTTCTATCATTCAAATGTCGTCTTTCTCAGTGTTACTTTTAGTTTCCTATTGGTGCTAGCTACACTTTCTACATGAAATATTATCAGGTGAGAAGGAATTAAGAAAAAAAAATAGAAAACGCCCAAAGCCAAGGCTGCATAGGAAGGAGTTCTGCTTTGTGGTTAGGCTTTAGGTTAAAGGTCAGGCTCAGGTTAAATGAACAGAAGTCAATGCAGGAGAAAAGTGAATATAGAATACTATGCGAGAGTGATTGTGTGTGTGTGTGTGTGTGTGTGTGTGTGTGTGTGTGTGTGTGTGTGTGTGTGTGTGTGTGTGTGTGTGTGCGCGTGTGTGTGTGGATGAACGTGAAACATATTGTGTAGATTAATTATACACAACCTGATGTTTCCTTTATTCCTGTTAATTATGATGAACGTCTGCTTACAGCAAATGAAAACACATCATTTAAGATTAGGATGTTACACCATACCAATTACAAAAAATAATAATAATAATCATTTCCAATGCAGAATTATCTGCTCATTTTTTTCCTGCATGAGTTGCTCAACTTCAGACTTTTAAACAGCTCACAGCAAAGCAGCTCTACTTCAGTTCCAGGAAAGCAGCGTGACAGGAGGGAGGTGGAAGGTTGCAGCAATCAGTGTCAGGGATAGACGAGGCTCAGAGTCAGGTAATGCAAACAGAACACATGGAGAAAAGCATTTCATTTTCCTGAGCTGCTGTTGTGTTATTTTTACTCAACTTAAAAATGTACTAAAATATTGTATCAAAAGGAAACGCCTCAGATGCGTGCTTTGATACTGCCAGTTTGTTCTGCGGTTATTTATAGCTTTAAGTTGGAAAGAAGGTTTAATCAAAAGCATGAAGTTGATCTGAAACGTGTTAAACAACCAAAACATAATAAATCCCTCCACAGAGAGATCCAGAGCAGCACCAGGAATAACTCTGAGTCTATTGGAAGCATTTCTGTTTTATTTGATGCGCTCCATTCTAAGTCCAGGGGAAACAATCTGGCTCTGTGGCTGCTCAATGCTCCTCTATGTTCTGCTGCAGCCGTGTGTTCCTGCTGCTGGGCGCCGAGCAGGTGATTCACTTGGCTACTTGAAATGAGTTACCAACCAGAGGGAACGGGAACCAATTAAAAAGCGGGAATCTGCAGGTGGTTAAAAGATAAATGCAGCGGCTGAGAAATGCCGAGCGGCTCCAGCAAAGCTGAGCGTCGTGTTCT